CTCGACTTTGAGGACGCTGCAAAAACAATGCAAACGCTCTCTGCGATCTCTGCACCCGCCGCGGTTTCTGTTGGGCGCAAGAATTTTTCGTGAGAGGGCTCTGGATCCAGCGCGGAATGCAGGGTCTCACTTTGGCAGTCGGTGCACGACGCCAACCCCAGCTGGATTTGCAGAGCATAGCGGCACCTAAATTTGGCTTGATCACACTCGCGCAACACAACCCTCCGCTGCCGTTGCCGCTCGCTCCTCACTCAGCGCCCAGGTCATCTGCTGGACACGCTCTTTCTATTGTCGCTTCATCATCTTTGTCCCCTCGTTTGTACATTCTCAGTCCATCGCTCCCATATTCGCCTTCTCCTATACCTCCTTTAATACTACAAGAACACTCTGCGTGAAACGCGTCAGCCACATCGTATACGGCCCACACAACACTGCTTCCCACACATCCGCCCTCTCTGTTCCTGACACCACCAAACATGTTGCGGAAGCTCTGGCTCTTCGCAGCACTCTTTGCGATGGCCGCGCTCTCGTCAGCCTTCAGCCTCGACGACCTCCACATCGACGGCATCGAGGAGTATCTGCATCACGGCGAGAAGCGACAGGCCAGCGGTACGGGTAATACCCCTTCATCCGCTGCTCCTCCCACGTCTTCGGCACAACAAGTGTCGTCAGCGCCAGAGTCGACGCCCACACCTACACCGACTCAGGACCCAACCTCAGATCCGGTGACATCCAACGAGCCCGCGTCTTCCACACCGGCACCGGCACCGTCCAGCGCCAACAACCAGCCTACTTCACAGCAAACGAGTGCCGCGGCACCAGTGTCCAGCAATAAACCAGTAACCTCAACCAGGACCACGGCTGTCATCAGGACCACTGACCTGGTCTCTACTTCGCTGCAGGAATTCATTACCACCTACACCACGATTAGCGATGGCCAGGCAGTTACGCAAACCTCGACGGGTACCAGCAGCATCGTCACCACTACCGGTCAAGCGGTAGTGACAGACCCACCTACTTCGCAAGAGAACTCTGGCGGCAGCGACAAGGGCCTGAGTCAGAGCAGCAAGAACATCATCGGTGGCGTCGTTGGCGGCATTGGCGGTGCCCTCCTGCTGGCCGGCATTGGCCTCGTCTTCTGGCGCATGAAGAAGCGTCAGCACAAAGTCAGCGCCGACGACGACGACCTCATGGCTAATACCGGCGCTGCCCTAGGCGACAAGCCCTCGATTGGCAGCGGCTCCTCGCCTTTCCAGTCCAACCTCGAACAGTACCACAACCCCGGTGGACGCCCGAACGCGGCTGCCAACTTCTAGGCGCTGCGTTTGCAGGATACGTACATATGCGGCCTGCGAGGGTCCGTTCAACGATGTCAATGATTATTTGCGGTGTTTATCTGATCTGACGTGTCCATTTGGAGGGCTCTCCAGAGTATGTATATACAGCAAGCCACGGCGGCTCTAATACTCCTACTCGAGGAAGCCGGCTATATTGGGTACAAATTGTCTTTCACGGTGCATTTGCAGGCGTGGTTCATACTTTGTCTTCTCTCCAATTATCTTATACCCCTAGCGTTTGCGCGATTCCCAGCTCTCTGATCTTGAACGGCGGTTTGCTCTAGATGGATCACGCAAGTATAGGCGGTATCAACAGTGGGAATTACCATATCTTCCCGTCCAGTCATTTTCTCGTCATCTCTACGATGTTGGTATTTGCCACGTCGCTTGTTTAAAAGTTGTAATTTGAGCGGCAATCATGTCCCTTCTGTCACAATAGCATAGCATACCCCAAATCGAATCAACAGACTGTCACATACTACCTTGGACTCTCTCCTTTCCTTACGTCATGTTCTTTATGCAACTCGTGGGACTGTTTCTGTTTGGACACAGGAAAACTGAACTTTCTGGGTTCCTAAATTCAAGGGGCGTGTTGGCTTGGTGTTGCGTTTCAGTACCGTCGCAACAGCACCACCACATTTCCAAACCAGGCTACGTGGAACCCAGCGCCAAACCTATCTCGCGTGAGATGGGCTGCAGGTGCGGTTGATGTGCTGCTTCTCGCTTTCGAATGGCTAGGTTACATATGCGCCTTGCTCGCCTCGACTTAGAACCGACTTTTGCGACTCCACGACTTCCAACGACGCATCATTCGTATACGCGCTGTGCGCTACATCATCCTAACTCGTCTTAGCTATTGGATACTTGACGACCACTACTCCGATTCGCAGCCATGAAATTCCTCCTCCCACCAGCGCTCCTTTCCCTCCTGCACCTCGCCCTCCCCGCCCTCTCCCACGCATCCCCGCAACCAGCCCTCATATCCACCGACTGGGAAATGTCGCTAGTCCCGCGGCACACGCTCTTCCTGCGCCAACTCAGCGACCTGCAAACCTTCGACTCAGCTCTCGGCGGCACAAAAGCCAGTCCCATCACTAACAGTGGAGATACGCAACGTCCGTTCCAGGTCGATGGGGATACGTTTGACAGTTTTGCGAGTGCGGCGCAAAGGAGCTGTGACAATCAGTTTAAAGGGTGTTCGGATGCTGCGAATCAGGATGGAAATGGGAATAAGAATGCGAGGAAGGGGAAGGAGAAGAGGCAAAGTGGGGGCGGTGGCGCGTTGACTGTGCAGGCTTGTGATGAACAGAGGAGTAAGTAGTTCCTAGTTCCTTGGTCGATCTCTGAGTTTTCTGAGTTGCTGTGAAATTGAAGAGGCTGTTGTGTTGACGAGGAAATGCGATTAGCTCAGTGTAATGATGCGCAGAAGACGGCGACGGCGCAGGACTTTACGAGCGCAGTTGCGAGTACGAATATTGGGCCTGATCCGGATTTCCCGGACTTTGATTTGATTTGCGAGGCGTAGGTTTACTTCAAAGGGTGAAGTGGAGGGATTGGGGAGGGTTAAGGGGGGATGGAAGACTATATCTATGTCTTTGCTCATTTACACACATTATGCGTAGACCCATAGTAGATGGAACCAATGTGAACCAATATCTGAAAATGCAACCTCAATGAGATCTGAGATGTGCCAAAGACTTATGAGGGGCGAATAGTGGATGCGTCACGTGCGCACGCTTAATCGTGAACGCGACTTCCGATATTGCACGCGTCTGCTCTCTGATCCCTCACATATTATCACATCCAAGCATATACTTTGGCTCGTTGTCTTGGAGTAACGAAAGGTCCTGATCAACTTATTTGCTGCACTATAGATTCGACGCCTTGGCTTTTACGCGTCCTGGAGGCACGATGCTTCGACTGTCACGTACAAGCCCATTTCCTCGTCGAGCCCTTTTTCGCTTGTTTGAAGGTCGCATCTTTGCCACTATACTCTATATCTGATTAGAGATCAATTGCTATTTCAATGGCATCCAAGAAGCTCAATGTAACAGCCAAAGCGTTGCAAGCATTGCTTACGCGCATCGGCCTAGCATCATCAGGGACCAAGGCCACTCTCCAAGACCGCTTTGCACGCGATCTCCACAGATCTCGTCTTTTCAAGCACCGCATAGACTGGGAAGCTCGGCAAGACAAGGACTGGGGCCGCAAACTCCGCATTGTGAGCATCGACATGGGCATCAAGAATCTTGCCTATTGCGATGTCACAGTTGACTACCCGTCAAAAGACAGCCTGGACGCCACGATGGAAGTGATCAGATGGGAGAAGATTGATCTCGTTAAGACGACCCGGCAATACCGAGGGCATCTACCGAGTCCTAGAGATATCAAGAAAGGAACGGCGGATGAGGATGAAGATGTTGATCCGTACTCGCTGTCCGTGCTGTCTGCAACCGCGTACTCTTTAGTAACAAAGACGATTTTATCTGGAGCACCTGACATCGTCTTGATTGAGAAGCAAAGGTGGCGTTCAGGTGGGGGCAGCGCGATACAGCAGTGGACTGTCCGCGTCAACACTTTTGAGGGCATGCTATGGGCTGTGCTAGAGACGTTGCGCATGGAGTGGAGCACCATGATTGAGTCCCATAGGAGGCATCGGCCGAAAAGAGAATACGAAGTCTTTGCCGTGGATCCAAAGCGCGTGGGTCACTATTGGCTTGGGCAGCACGCGAGGATGCTTGCAGCGAGGGAAGCTAGCAAAGCAGACTCGATTACAGACGCAAATGACCAGGCCGCAGAAGAGGACGCTCCAGGGGCAACTAAGAAAGACACGACTCGAAGCAAAGCCGAAAAGAAAGCTAAGATCGCCATTCTGCGTTCGTGGCTATCTTCCAACCCTCCGTCTACAGCAGGCTCAACACCTGGATCTACACCCAAGATCACATTTACTCTCACGCAGAACGCAGAGCTCGCCCGTCAAGCTCTCTGCGCACCTTCGAAAACTACGCGTCGTAAGAAATCGAGCAAATCTAAGAGCGAAGATGCATCAGAGGATAGTGTAGATGTAGAAGTAGTAGGCGACTCGGAGCTCAAGAAGCTCGACGATATCACGGATTGTTTTCTGCAAGCCGCGGCTTGGGTGAGCTGGGAGTCGAATCGGTTGCAATTATCTGAAGTGAAGAATAGGCTGAAAGGGAACAGTGGCACTCCGGCGAAGTTGAGTGACGAGGTTTTGTTGGAGATGATTAAGGCGGTCGACGAGGGCTGATAGAACAAAAGTGAGCTCCATACTGCGATCATTCTAGACTGCCCACTCGAAACTGTCTGTTCCGGAGGTTACCGGTAGGAAAGCCCATGACTTATTATAACTATACGAGTATATAGATCCCCAGACACCTATGGACTTAGAGGGGGCTGTTGAACCAAATGGTCCAAACAATAGTTATCGGGTATCCCCGGTTCCCAACGACAAGCCAACCCAATCATTCCGCATGCACGCACGCAAGCCCCCTTTGTTCCCCACTCCATTAGTCACAAAACATCAACCAGTCAAACTCTTTTACCATGCATAGCTACCCAACAGTCAAACTCTTCTTTATTCAATCAGTATATATACCGTGTAATTCTCAAAAACGGTCAGAAGTCTGTTATTTCCGCTCGACGGTCTCGGTGGCGCAATGGTAGCGCGTTGGACTTCTACTTCTCCTTGGAAAAGGACTGGAAAGATCAAAATCCAAAGGCTGCGGGTTCGAGCCCCGCCCGAGATGCTTTTTGCCGTTCTTTTTGGTATCTTGTCGTCGTCGTGGTTCTTTTGTTATCAGGGGGGTGGTTGAAGGCTGATGTGACATGGGATGAAATTTTTGGTGGGGCAACGATTTTTGGAACTCCCCGTCGGACGCCGAATCAGATGAACAACGTTGAAAACTCACACAATTAATGAGGACGTTTGGAGACACGCAGCAGTTTGGTAGATAGTGAATAAGCACGCTCTTAGGCGCGCGAATGCTTTTCATTCATTCATGTCCTTTTTGCTTCGGAAAGGCTGAAGCTAGATAGTTAAATAGACAGATCCTCTGTAGAGATACAACACGAAACCCACCCAATGTCATACGGAATAGCGCTTCCCTTGATAGACAACCCATGGCCCCAAGAACCAACAACAGCAAAGATGCCAATAACTACCGACGTGACTTTTCATAAAGTGAACATTAGCGGCAACAAACTTGCCTTCTTCAAAGAATCAACAAAAAACGCCTGATAAATAGCATGATCATACAACGAGACCTGCTCCAGGACGAAAGAGAACATAACTCAAGTTACCACACAAAGACCAGCCAGCCAGCCGTGCGTAATTCCAAAAACGAAATAATAATGAGAATGGCATGCAGAAGTTCAAATAAAAGTCTACAATCGCTCACGCTCCTGGAAGCGCTCGACCGGATCGGCAAAAGACCGCGTCAAGCCGACCGACGCCCAGAAGTCGTCGCTAATATCCTCGCGACGCGAGAGACGCTCGAGCAGGGACCGCGCATCGCGAAGCTCCTGATCCAGAGGCTGAGCATCGAACGAGCTGAGTGGCGGCAGGACCACGTCGTCCCCAGCAGTCAATGGCCCATCGACCTGCGCCTCGAGTGCAGTGAGCGAGGGAAGTCTATCCGCTGGCGCATCGCCCTCGCCGCGTGATGTGCTGGGGTTGTAGAAGCTGCGAACGTATGCGCTTGCGTCTCGGGATCGCTCTATGACGCGCCGCGAGTAGCGCTCCGAGTCTCGCAGCGGAGGCTCGTTGGAGAAGTAAGAGGGCCGCATTCTGCGGCGGGAGGGAACTGGGTCGGAGAGATTCATTCGGTTCCTAAAGGCTTCGGCGCCATTGAGGCGTCTGATGCTGCCGCGCACGTCAATGTCCTCTTCCTCCGTGTCAGACGCCGTGTCGTCCTCAGAAGTGTCGCATGCGCGCATGAACTGCTCATTCGGCGGAGGAGAAGCACGCCGTGAGGGCACGGTAAGATGTGTTCTTGACGAAGCTGCCGAGTTGGAACTTCCGGCTCGCGAGCTTGGGTGAGAATTCGAAAACGATGCTGCGGCAGCGGCAGATGCAAACGACGACTCGGTCGTGGGCCCTACGGGATCAGGCACAACGGTACTGAGGAACGTGTCCCACGGCAAGTGTTCGTCGAATGGGCTGACGCTGCGGTCGCGGTCGCCTAAGCCATCAAGTGTGGAGGCCGGGCTCCAGGACTCGCGGAGAGAGCTCGACGGCAGTGGGCCATCCGCGATGGTGCGGCGACCCATCCTGCGCAGTGGTGGGAAGCCCACAGCGTTGTTGTCGCTGGTCTCGTGCCCATGCTCGCCCGCATCCGTGTCTCTTCCCGCATGACGGTCAGAGCGGGGGCTTCGCGAGCGCGTCAATCGCGGGACTCCAGCGCGAACAATTACTTGGTACGGCGATCGCTCTCCAATGTGTGAGAGGTCTCGCGCGTCCCGCAGAGACTCTGCTTCAGCGCTTCGGGAAGCCGCAGCGGGCGCAAACCCGGGTGTCAAGGCTGGGAGCGGGCGGTCGTGGTCTACCGGAGTATAGGCGCGTGCCTCGTAGGCGCGCATGTATCCATCGAGGCGATTGCGTGAGCGGCGCAAACTGCTCTCGTCCCGCTGCAGACTGGGCGGGTTTCTCGAAGCGTCGCTGCTGCGGGAATCCGTCCGCGACACCTCAGGAACAGGTGGCGGGGCGAGGCGCGTGCGGGCGTGCGAAGGTCGAGAGACAGGCTCAAGCTGGGGCGCGAAGCGTGACGGAGGGACCATAAAGAGCGGGTCGAATGCCCCTTGAGATGTCGGTGATCTGTTCGGTCTGACGCGGCGGCGGATGGGGGAGCGTTGCCCGGTCACGTCGGCTCGCAGCACGTCTTTCTCCTTGGGCTCGTCCCGCCGAATGTTCCAGCCGATTGGGATGCCCATCGCGAAGACGGACTGGGTGGAGGGGCACAGAAAAGGATGGGGTGGAGATGCGGAGGTTGATGGGGACGCGCCTGGCGATGGGTTTGGGGGGTGGCCGGAGAAGAACTAATGGTAAGGCGGCGGCAGGGTTGCAAGCGCCGAAAACAGAACAGTGAGGCTGAAGCACCGGGGAAGGCGTTCAGAACATCAGCCCGCGATATTGATAGTCCTGAGAACTGTCCGACCGGGAATCATATAAAGTCGAGGCTGCGCTCCCACGCGTCTTTTGCGCACAACAGAATGCACGCCTCACTGCGCCTGATGCATGCCGTGAAGCCTGCAAAAGCCAAACGATCGATCAACGTCGGCAGGCGCGACTAGGACGCCAAGCCGTAGTTGCCTAATGCAGCATGGCCGACTTGCCTCGCAGCTTTTGGGCCACTCGCGGCAGTGACTCAAGACCATCTGCAGGAACGCAGTTTCAAAACAGCGACACGGACCTTCATCGGCCTAGAGCAGTCGTTGCCTATGCTACCTCGACACCTTCAGAGGCCATGATCCAACCGGGCTTGGAAAGGATCAGCCAGCTTCTGAAGAACGTCCGCTTCCCATGGAAGTCCATACATGTCGCCGGCACCAATGGAAAAGGATCCATATGCCACTACGCATCGTCCCTGCTCATCAGCAAACGAGTCAAGTGTGGTAAATTCACCTCGCCACATCTCGTAGATAGGTAGGCACACAGTCACGTACATGGTTATTATTCATACTCGTGCTGACTTCAAATGCTTCAAGATGGGACTGTATATCTATCAACGGCAAGACTGTCGACGAGACGCTGTTTCACAGGATAGAGCGGCACTATACTCAGCTCAGTCACAGAGAAAAAATCAATGCTTCATCCTTTGAGATTTTGACAGCCACTGCGTTCCACATCTTCAATGAGGAGAGGGTAGATGTTGGCGTTATCGAAGTGGGCATGGGCGGAAAGCTCGATGCAACCAACATACTAAACAATCAAGCAGTCTGCGTCATCTCCAAGATTGCTCAGGATCACCAAAACTTCCTAGGAACCACCTTGGGAGAGATTGCCCAACACAAAGCGGGAATCTTGAAGCCGAAAGTACCATACATTGTTAACCCACTGAATGAGTGGCATGTTCACGATACTATTGATCAGTATGCAAAGGAAATTGGGGCAGGTCCACGCCTGGCTGGTGACACTCCAGAGCTCGGTGAGACGTTGTGCTCTGATCAGAATTGGGATCGCTTTGCACAAGCATTGCGGCCGTTCCAGCGAGACAATGCGATTTTAGCCATAGTTGCCGTCAAGGAAACATGCCGGGAATTGGGACTCGAGTTTGCATACCCAGATATTGCGGAGGCGTTGGTCAAGATCGCGAGAAAAGACAACCCGGGACGACTTCAGTATCTCAAAGTCCAACCCGTTTTTGGCCAACCTGGAATACCAGGAAGAGACATACTCGTCGATGGGGCCCACAATCCAGATGCTGCGCAAGCACTGAAAGATTTCATCTTCATCAATGAACGACGAAAGAGATATCACGGACAGCCGCCGAAATCCGGATGGCCGGTTACATGGGTTCTTGCCATGACTGAAGGCAAGGATGCTCTTCAGTATCTCGAACCTTTGCTGCAACCGGGAGATAACGTCATCACTACATCGTTTGGTCCTGTAGATGGTATGCCATGGGTAAAACCAATGGATCCCAAGCAGCTCCTTGACATGGCAAAGACCGTGCAGCCGGGAATCACAGGATTATACACAAACACAAAAGGAGCGCTTCGGGCGTTGTGCGCCGCGAAGCATATCACTGAGGGCCATTGCCCTATAGTCGTGACTGGGAGCCTGTACCTAGTCGGTGACCTTCATCGTGAGATACGGGGGAGGGGCGACCAGGCATGGTGGAAAGACCCTGAGCACGAAGAAGACAGGTCATATTTTACGACCATGCTTGAAGAGGAGCGGGCCAAGGTCAATACCGTGCTCAGCCTCAAAGAGCCAGACGCTCCCGATAGTGTGACACCTAGCAGAGAAAGCGAAGAGATGAAGAGACGAAGACTTGAGAACGAGCGTAGGAGCGAACTCCTAGATGAGATCGCAGATCTAGATGGCCAAATGCAACGCCTCGACGAGGAAGAAAAGCGACTCTCGCGCGTCCGTCATTATGGGCTTCTCAAAGCCCCTGTTCGCAGCAGCAGATCAAGATCCTTGCCAGAAGCCATCCCGCAATCGTCGAATATGAGCAATACACAGATCAACAAGTCTCTATCAAACCTGCCGGAACCGCCAGAAGGCAAGTACTACGCCGCTTTCGATAGCCTGCGCCAGAGCCTCCAAGCACTACATATCAAAACACCGTATGTTGACCCATCGAACGTGTCCGTTTCCGACTCAGGCAAGAGGGAGCAGGACGCATTTGATTTGCGGGAAGAGGAAGCACGGCCGTCTGAGGATGGGCATGAGAAGGGAAGAAGGGAGGATTCGAGAGGAGGTCGAGCACGAGAAGACAGAGCTGGAGACAGGACGTCTCCCGAATTTCGCAAGCACCTTAGCAACGCGGATAAGACGAGGCCTCTTCGTCGTGTCAAGTCCATGTAGATAAGGCAAGTGAGCGTCGTTGAACTGCGAAGATTAGCGAGTGAGCGAGTAGCAATATTGTAGGAGTTGCAACAACTGAGTTATACAATAGCTTGCTTGTACCTTTGTTATCAGATTCTTGTATTTATTTTTAGACATGGAGTTGTATAGACTGGGCGGGTTGATATACCGTCTCAAGGAAGAATCGTCAAAGTTATTTTACCCCACTCATCTCAT